GACTAGGCTATTGAGTCGGAAAAGTCGAAAATCAAATATTGGGTTATTAGTACATAACGTACTTACCTCTCACAATTATTTAGGACAACGTCCTTATCTTTATTTATTTATTTATTTTTGCATTTTTACATTTATTTTCACCTTTCATTACACAAAAATGGCATTTTCATCTATTTTCTCAGTTAAAAGTAGTGAAATGACGAATATACTCTTTTATTTAAATAAAACCAAAAAGAAAAAGAAAGAACTAGTTGCAATCATAATCCTAATTATTTTTAAAAAATTTACGAAAAAGTCTCAAATAAATTAGTAAAATGGTAATTAACATATAATGTCCTTACCTTTCATTATTATTGTAAAATAATGAATAAAGCCTCCTATTGAAATCTAAAAAAATAAAGAACTAATTGCAATCATAGTTTCAAAATTTTTTAAAAAGTGCAAATGGGTCCAAAGTAAATAATTTAAAAAATTAGAAATTAAATTTTTGTTTAAAAAAATAAAGTGCAAACCATTTTCAATAACTTACTAAAACTAGAAATTAAAAAAATAATAAAATAGTGAAAACGAGTCCCAAATAAATTATTAAAAATTAGAAATTAAAAAAATAATTTTCTTTTTTGTTCTTTTTTTTAAAATTTAAATAAAGAAGCTATATTCATCATTTCATAATTTTTAATTGAGAAATTGGATGAAAATGTGTAGAAATGACTGTTTGCACAATTAATGGTGTAATTAAGAGTGAAAATGTCAAAAAATAAAGGTACTGACGTTTTTTACAATAATAATGAAAGGTATGACATTATATGTTAATTACCTTTTTATTAATTTATTTAAAACTCGTTTGTACTTTTTTTTAAATTTTGAGACTATGGTTACAATTAGTTCTTTTTTTTTTTCATTTAAATAGAGATTTTTGTGCCCCGTTGCGCTACCGTGAATTGAATTACACTCAACAATCTAAAGTAAGAAAAAAAAAGTTTAAATCATATTTAATATATTGATTAATCTTACTTATCATGTTTGAATGGACTTATTTCTGCAAAATAAGTTCGAAAATTGGCTTATTTGAAAAGTAGGAATTGAATTTACGGTTAAATTCATATCCACTATGAAAATCAATGTAATACTCTATAGGGAAATCATCCCCTCTCTGTATAAATATTCCTCAATATATGTCACGTGCTGGAGACTAACTTGACTATTGGTGGGCGTTGCATGGCTCAATTTTGACCAAGGCGACATATGTAGATTTCCCCAATGAGTTATGAATGTGATGAAAAAAGGTTTTCGAGTTACGTATTTCAAATGTTATTTTCAACAGAAAATTGAAAGGCAGATGCGGTTTTGAGGGTGTGCAAGTTGAACGACCGCTCAGGACCTCGAAATTGTAGGGGCACCAAAAAATTTTTTTGTTATAGTTATATATTTATTTATAATTAAATATTTAAAATATAAAATTTTTATTATTATGCATAAGATATTAAAATTAAGAATAATGTGACTAATTAAATATAATTTCCTTGAATATAATATTCTTAAATAGTATTCCTACTTTAAATAATGTGAGAGAAAAGGGAAAAGTTGAAAAGAGATCAGGCAGCTATAGAACTGAGAGAAGAAAGAAAAATTGAGCAACCAAATTTTCCAACAGTCTTTTTGGAGAAAAGAATTAAAAAAAAAAAAAAAACTAGCCGTATTTTCCAATTGCCTCAAAGATAATTAAGGCAGAGAAGAGAGAAATCTATTATTTCTTTTATGGGGGTGTTTGACACCCATTTTTATGGAAAATGAATTTTAGAATGGTAGATTGATGGAGAATGTGTAGATGAAAATTAAGGAAAAATGTTTGATTTACGTGTAATATTATTTTAGTGAAAAATGTGTGGTTAAAAAGAATAGAGAAAAAATGTATTTTGATAAAAATAAGAATCAAACGAGACCTATATAGTAGATGAAAATGGTACTGTAGATGATGCACAATCACCTGAAGATTCTTTCGGAACCAATTATTTCTTTTATATAGTAGATCAAACAATTGGATCGCTTGAACAACAGTTTGATCGATCCAATTCGTATGAAAAAAATTTGGATTTCTAATTTCTTCTAACAAGTTAAATTCATTGGATGATGCTAATTTAAAAGCAAGTTGTGATCATCTTGATATTATTTTAAGACAAGTAAATTTTTGCGATTTTGATGGTGAAGATTTATTTCAAAGAGTTAAAAGTTTTGCGAAATCTTTTACGAAAAGAAATAAAGCCAACTTTTGATATATTGACTTATTTGAAAAGATTGGATTGCTTTCCAAATACATGTTTTGCCTATAGAATATTATTGACATTTCCTGTTACTGTTGCATCTGTTAAGAAATTTTTTTCAAAATTGAAGTTATTAAAATCTTATTTGTGATCAACCATGTTATAAAAACGATTGAATGAATTAACTTTGATATCTACTGAGTAAGACTTTCTAGAAAAATGTTGATTAGAAAAGTTTAATTGCTGAGTTTGCTTTTAAAAATGTGAGAAGAAATATTTTTACACGATTTGTTGCATTTCAAACTTTACACTTGATATATATATTTTTTCAAGAGACTAGTAGCTTGGCTGGTTCTTTGTTGATAACATATGAATTTTGATGAAGTTCGAGAGATACTTTTGAGCTTTATTTATGTTTTTCTTATTTATGTATGGCAAAAAAAATAATAATAATAACATTTAAATATCATGTTTTTGCAATGAAATAATATTATTGATTTTCTTGTTAATATATGTTTTAGTTACTTGAAGAGGACACCATTTTAAAATTTCACATAGGGCACCCAAAATTTTAAGGTCGACTCTGTTGAAAGGCATTCAAAATAATAAATTTATGTATCAACACCAACGTCCCTCCTATTTTTATTTGGGTTTTGCTAGACGAACAAGGTCGAGTCGACAACAGGCACCCTGCCTATAGGGGCACCACATCGCCCCTTATTCAACAACTTTTTGGTTTTTATTTACAATCATGCTATTTAAACAAGAAATTTAACAGAAAGTGATGACAGGCAAGATTTGATATTTATTCATTCGAAGATGGAATTTAAAAAAAAAAAAAAGAAAAAAAAAGAAGGCCATTGGAAGATGGAATTTAAAAAAAAAAAAAAAAAAAAAAAAGAAGGCCATTGGAAGATGGAATTTAAAAAAAAAAAAAAAAAAGAAGGCGAATCACATTCGCTACATCAGCCTTGTCAAATTTCTCTGTTTGAATCGCTTAATTCTTTTCTTTTATTTTTCAAATTTCCCAGTGTGAATAGTTTTATTCTTTTCTTTTCTTTTTTTCTTTTTGTTCAGACACGCAACCTTAAAAACAACAAAGCAAGATCGCATTTATTCCCGATATTTCAAAATCATTAGCTTAAATCATGATCTTTTAACATGCCAAAATAAGTGTTTGTTTGATAGGGATTTTGATAATTGATTTTTTGACCGTTAGAAATAAAGTTAGTCTTATTTGTAAGAGAAGAATTCAAAAATGACGGCTGAAATAGTAAAATAACGTTCAAAAAATTTGATTTTAATTGACTTAAAATTTGTACCAAACAAGCACTAAATTGCAACCTTCGATGATGACAATTCAAACTCCACCGTGATGGACACGTGGCGTACTAATTGCATCAACTAGACATGTGGGACCCCATGTTCTCCAGATGTAAACCAATAACACATTCAAAATTGATCCATAACTGCCAATGCCCCCACACACGCCGTCTCTAAATAATGCCAGAGGTATCAAGGTACAACTTTGAAAAGACGTGGTACTACGTTTTAAACCTTTTGTTTGAGGCATCAATCAGATTTCCCAGGTAGATAACGACGAGAGATAACGGCGTCACATCACTCTATAAATACCTCCGAACTTGATTGCCACTTGTGCTGTTTCCTTGTCTTTGTCTTCAGCACGAACACACACTGATACACACACACAAATATATATATTGAAGCTATGGGGTATTTCTGATGCAGCACGAAGCGAGATTAAATCGAAGAATTTTGTGTTTCACAAGAAAAGAAATTTTCTGATTATCGTGGAAGATCCACGCAAGGATTAATCATGAAGGGCTGTTTTAATTTTTCCTTTCTACAGTGAAACTGCAAAAGATTCAGAGAAAAAACCCAGAAATTTCTAGCTTTTGAATCACCATTGAAGAAGCTTCACAGAGATTCTTGAAGGGTTTTTGCAGTTCCTTTAAGGTGAAACTGTGTTATCTTTTTATTTTACCACTACATTGAGCTTAATTCCGATTCCCATTTAAGTTTTTAGACGAGTGGTTAGCAGAAACAAATTTCTTTCTTTACACTGTTTATTTGAAGGGTTTTGCAAAAAAAAAATAAATAAATAAATAAATAAAAACATGCACAATCAGTTTGTAACAATAGTACGGATAACTTTTAATTAGTTTGTCTGAATATGCATTCCAAACTCGATACAGCATTTATTTATTTGTTCATCATCCAGTTGCTGAGTTGCTCAACAAGATTCTTCTTTTTTCTGAATGTATTTTGTACTATATATAGATTAATTACACATATATTTGTATGACTTTACTTTGGATTATTGCAGAAAAGGGTAAGAAATGATTTGATAAGCATAAAAAGGAAAAAAAAATTACTTATTATTGGGAAGGTAAATATTTAATGAATTTTGTCAGAGAATTCGGCTCTTACTGCACAAAATCTTGATTCTTTGTTCTTCTGCGCATTAAAGCAGATACACTAATGACTACTTTAGGATTTTACATTTATTTCTTTCTATAAATATCCAACCATTAATATTCTTTTCTTTTCTTTTTTTATTTTCCACTTCCTCTGATCTCGAGCCCATTTTCTCTTTCTCTATCCACTTTTTTTTTTTTTTGTTAGAATTTGGAAAGTAAGAGATTGGCATTTATTCTTATTTTGAGAGAATAATTTCTGTTTCTTGATTGTTGGGGAAGAATCTCCACCAATCAGATTTTTCTCATGAACAAGAAAACTTTTTTTGAAGTTAAAATTTTAATAGTTAGGTTTAGGTATCTTGCTTTATATGGTGGGCTTCGAATGTTTTAAAACTGTTAAAACTTATATGGCATGTATTGAATCAATCGATAGAACGAAGGACTTAATAAATATTTCTCTATTTTCATATATAGAGCCTGTTTGGAGTGATTTTGAGAATTGATTTTTTAACCGTTAGGGGAAAAGTGGGTTCCACTTGTGAGAGAATAAATCAAATATGACGGTTGAAATAGTGAAATAACGGTCAAAAAATTAATTTTTTGGGCCAAAAAATCACTCTCAAACAGACTGATAGTCGGTAACTATTACAATTATTTAAGTACTAACTCAAAATAGTTCCATGAGTATTATTTGCAAAGCAAAAATTAAATTGTATCCTAAGTGGATTTATTATTAAATCTTGACAAAGATATATAGTTTTCTAATACATTATATTTTTTCCTAATTTCCATGCAGGTGAAACAGAATATTTAATTTTTTTAAAAAAAGTTGCATATAAATAAAATAATAGAGCAGAAAATGTTGACGTGTATAACGTGCTCAAAGCAACAAGCTGATGATGGAGAAGAAGCACCGAGAGGGACTCCCGGGACAAAAGACGCCGTCAAGACCCTCACCAATCAGGTTCTGAACCTCTCTATATATATATATTGATACTCAAAGATAGATGTGTTTATCGAATGATGATAAATTTTACTGTCACCTAAATTAATGCTAAATTCGAGCTATCATTTTGCTTTTGCTTTGCTTTTTTGCGCCAGTTTGTTTTTCCTTGTTTGCAAGCACAAACGAAGGATCTATAGACTATGGTTGCTTTTATTGAATCCAATGGTGGGGTCCATTGGTGCTTCTCCCTTTTGTGTGGGACCATTTAGGTTGTATTCTAATTTTTAAAACTAGAGACATGAGAATTGATTTTTTGATCGTTATAGAGAAAAGGGAGTCTCACCCATGAATGAAGAAGTAAAAAATAATGGCTGGAATAATGAAATAACGATTAAAAAATCAATAGTGAAATAACGGTCAAAAAATAAAGGTTAAGAATCAACCTCTTTAAAAGAATTGAATACTTGATTGCATAATTTTAATAGGTTCGAAAAGTGAGTTTAATAGTCTTTCTTGTCCATTCAAGAACAAAGTTGATTTTTCCTTTTTATCATTTGGTAATTGGTAAGACAAATTTTATGATAAGGACATGGGCAATCTATGTTGGATCATGTGTTCAAAACTTTGGCCCGTAGATCTCTCTTTTTTATTTGAATAATGCTACTTTGATATAAAATCCCGCCAAATGCCGTGACCAAAGATGCTGTCGTGGAGTTGATTAGATGGGACAGTTGATTGTGTTTAAAATAGTGCAATGATAAAATATCACGTGACATTACTATTATGTCAAACTTTTTATTTCTATAGTATGATTGTTTTTTTATTCTAACAATCTTCTTGAAGTAATAATATGACAGATGATGAGCCGTTGGAACCAAAAATAAATAAATAAATAAAGATGCCCAAATCAATTAAAGCAAGAAAAAAATTTAAATTTTATTACTTTCTACCTTAAAAGGCAAGATATGTTCAATATTTATTGTCGGCGTATGTTGCATTGAACACGGTCAAGGAAGCAAATCTTCAAATTGACTGACATTTTTTACTAGTGGGTCCACCTACATGGCAGTAGAATAATATAAGCCGATGTTTGACAACCATTAAATTTATTTATTTTTTTTGAAAAATGAGTTATAAAATAATGATTTTTCAAAAAATCTATGGTTAAATAGAAAAATTGGATTTACACGTAGAATATTTTATTATGAGAATGTGTGGTCGATACTAAGTTTGAGAAGGGACAAAAAAGTTTTGTTTTAATTATTGTCAAACAGAGACTAAGTCCCTCTTTGACCCCCATTTTGTGGAAAAAGTAGGGGTCGTTTGAGCTCCATTATTTGTAGATTATAATGAGATGAATAGTATTTTTTTTTTGAAAAATGAGTAGTTGAAAAGTTTTTTATTTATGTGTAATATTATTTTATTGAAGATTGTGTGGTAAAAAGTAGGAGAAAGAAAAATTTAATTTAGGGCCTGTTTAGGAGCGATTTTTTCCTCCAAAAAATTATTTTTTGACTGTTATTTCACTGTTCCAGCCGTCATATTTGACTTCTTCTCTCACAGGTGGACCCCACTTTTTTTCTAACGATCAAAAAATCAATTTTCAAAATTACTCCCAAACAGACTCTTAATGTAATGAGAAATAATGGGGTTCAAACGGGGGCTTAATGGGCAAAACAGTGTTTTTTAAAAAATGAATGGTTGAAAAAGGGGGGAAAAGTTTTCGGCTTACATGTAATATTATTTTATTAAAAATTGTGTGGTTGAAAATAAGACAGAGAATGAAATGTAATATAATAAAAATTAATGAGGGCCAAACGAGGTCTAATTGAATAATACCTCACCCACAAATTGAATCTCATTTTTGGCTAAAATATTTATGCCACCCAAATCAAAAGATATGACTTGCCGTATTCTCGAATTTATAGTACTGAATAATGTTAACTATATAAAAAAAAAATGTAGAAAGAAATTAGCCCTAATGTGCACACGCTTATGTTCGCCTAGTGAAAAGTTACTAAAATCTTGTTCTTAATCTCTATTTTGAGAGATACTTGTGTGAATTCTTTGATAAAGAAAGTGTGAAGGTGGGATCATGGGAAAAGACGAGACGTGCTTGAAGAAGAGTCACCTTTTATCTTGTCCATCACTTTGTTCCAACATCAATCCGTATTACATTACGTTTGAGATTAGACAATATTAAACAAGAAAAAAATTAAAGTATTATTTATTTTATGCTGAGTACAATCTAATACCGCATATCAACCATGCATTTACGTCATATTTAGTATGATAGCTTAGATAGTAATGAAAATAGCAACGAAGAAAGAAAAAACTCAAATGTTATTGTACTGTCATCGTGATCTAATACTGCATATGAAACATGCAATTAATTTTGTGATTAGTAAGTATACAGATGATAATATCAGTGCCTGCAGAGTCAAAATAAGGCAGCTACTTTGTTCTCAAAGAGCCAGTGGCAGCCTTGAAAATACTGAACTCTGAGCAAGAAATAATATTTGTAGTCAAATTACTAAATTGTGAAAATACTGAACTCTGAGCAAGAAACTAATATTTATAGGTCAACACACTTCAAATGACTTTGTAGTCAAATTACTAAATTGCTTCTGATATTGTAGATAATATAGCAGATTCTGGTACAAAAGAAGGTGCAGTCTGCTGTGCATCAGTTCTAATGAAGTGTACAGTTCTTTTAAGTTTTAGAATTTTGCTAGCTGTACGTCAATCTCGATTGTACATGTAACATTTCCTTATAGGGACGATAGATAGAGTAAATTAAACCATACTAAGGGTTTTTGGGATGTTTTGTACATTTTACTTTCAGTCCTCTTCTAGAGGAGTAAGTAGAGTAGCCAAGACATCCATACAAGGGATACTTCTATTGTAATGTATTATCGAGTAACATGCATATCTTAGGAGAACCATACCTCAAAAACTAGCTTTTGAAGTTGGAGAGCTCAAATCTAAAATAAACCACTCATCAGAGCCATACTTTCGATATGAAATTCAAGTCCCTTACCTTGCAAAGGAAACCGCGCTCTGTGATCCCTGCACCCACATTGGTCTAGCTTTACATTAGCCCGTGACTAGTCCCGAACGAACACTGTTATGCAGGTGTCACCATCTATGTCACTTGATTGCAACTAGGAGACATTGGAACCTGGTTCTGATACCATTGATATAAAATTTGGGAAGCCATACTTCAAAAGCTAACTATTGAAGTTGGAGAGCTCAAATCTACATAAACCATACATCGAAAGTCCATACTTTTGATATGGTATTTAAGTCCCATACCTTGCAATAGGAACCATAACATAATTGCTATTTTCTATTCAAAAAAATTCTGTTAATCCTAAGAACTTGTAATTGTGATGATGATCAGATCAAGGATATGGCATTGAAGGTCTCAGGATCTGTTAAACAAAGCAAAGGAGAGAGCAGCTATAAGAGAGGTCAAAGATCATATCCTGATTTTGATATATCAGAAGGGCCATACCCTTCTTATATGCAACCAGGAAGCTCAAGTTCTACAGCGTGGGATTTTACTAGCACTGCACATCGTGCTTCTCGACCTGACTCAAGATTTAGCAGAGCGTTTACCGGTGATCAGACCCCTGATGCACGAGAATCTATCTCGACTAAATACGGCGAAGTCATGCTAGAAAATGATGATGAACCTAAAGAATGGATGGCACAGGTGGAGCCAGGTGTTCAAATTACTTTCTTGTCTCTCCCTCGCGGTGGAAATGATCTTAAACGAATCCGTTTCAGGTACGAACTTATCAACAACATAATGTCCCTAACCAATATTTATGCTTCCATCATGTTAACAACTATGAACTGAATATAGTTAAGGTACAACCATATGATTCATTCAAATTTCCAATCTGATGTAGAAAGAACTTGGGACTAATAGGATACCAAATTGTTGTATAAATTGAAAATTTCTACTGGTATTGATATTAATTCAAGATTATCATTGAATCTGAAGCCGGGAGATGTTCAATAAATGGGAAGCTCAGAGATGGTGGGGCGAAAATTTCGATAGAATAATGGAGCTCTACAATGTTCAGAAATTCAATCAGCAAGCTTTTAACACTCCCGGGAGATCCGAGGATGGGGTAAATCCCTTGTTTTTCTTTTTCAAGCAAATGTATATTTTACGCGTTTCTTATATCTCTAGGTAAAGTTACATGCTTTCTACGACTGTGGGAGGATATGCATTATGATCAATCTGAATAGGATCCTGCACTTGAATACCAGTTCTTTTAGCCTTTAGTTAGTCCCTAAATAACAATGCATATAAAGTTGTGAACTAATGGAAACTTGGACTCTTACTGATGCAGAGAAATTCTACTTACTCGATGCTCGAATCTTCCCGGGAGAGCCCGAGGATGACTCCATCAGTAAGGTATAGGCCTTCTGGAAGTAGTAATTACTTCCCACCAGACCATGGTGGCAGTCAGTATTATAATGCAGGATCAAGAGCTTATCCTGTACCAAGAGGCGAGATGTCGTATATGGAAGCATCGAGGGATACAAATGCCTCAGTAGACGAGCCATCGGTTTCCATAAGCAATGCCAGTGACATTGAATCGGAGTGGATCGAAGAAGATGAGCCGGGAGTGTATATTACCATCAGACAACTGGTCGATGGTACTAGGGAGCTTCGGCGTGTCAGATTCAGGTAAACTTAAGTTACAACTTCGAAACAAAATAAACTTCCATGTCTAACATGAAACTTCGTATCAATCGTCATTGTCTTATCTGTCGACTTGTTTGATGCAGCCGAGAAAAATTTGGGGAGGTGAATGCAAAGCTCTGGTGGGAAACAAACAGGGACAGAATACAAAATCAATACCTATAAATGACAGATTTTCCATTGAAAAATCCATTCCATTTTGCTCTAAGTGAATGCTGCCAAAAGGATTAAGCCCCATATTCGAAATATATGGTTGGCAGTTCACAAATTTTCTGCGTTAAGGGATTTTTCAGGCAAAGCTGACATTAATTATTTTATGGGTAGTTTACAGTTGATTTATTCAAATTCATTTTTATCACTGTTTCATTTCTGCCTTGTGGGTTTTTTTAAGCCTAATGGCATCGCTTTTCTCTCATTTAATGTTAGAATCCTCTTTCTTTTGTAACTTTCGGGTTGAATTGAAGTCGTGAGATGAAATTCTGCAACTTAAGTAATTTTTGTTGTGGATATCATACCAAAAATAATATACAAAAGCGAATTCTTTAATTGTGAAAATGCGAAAAATAAACTATCGTGGAAATCTCTTGAGAAATCTTGATTTCGGGCTTAGAAAACAACCAAGCGAACACCAATCAACCGGCTCGACCCAACAACCCTTAACATCTTTAGTTGCCTCAGTTTTACCCCCACAAAGGAGACACTTGGTGGTGGTATTTGCAAGCTACAAGTGGAGGAAGGAGAAGAAGAAACAATGGTTGAATCTCTCTTGCATTCGCCCG